GAAGAAAAGCGTGGTATTTAGATTATATAGTGATAGTTAGGTTAAATGATGAGTGGTATTTAGATTATATGGTGGTAAAAAAATACAGATAGCAAGAAAGATTTAAAAGGATAGCTAGAGTATAAAAAAAGATACCAATATGTGAAAAAAAAATAGATTATATGGTGATAATTAGATTATATTATTTAGATTATATGGTGATAATTAGATTATATCATTTAGATCATATGGTGGTACTCAGATTGTATAGTGATATTTAGATTATATGGTGGTATTCAGATTATATGGTGGTATTTAGATCATATAGTGGTACCCAGATTATATGGTGGTAATATAATCTAGAGCAAGTGGGATACCACCATGTAATATAATTATATTACATGGTGGTATCCCACTATATTGGATTGCTATGTTTCACTAAAATTATTTGGATGGTGGCATAAAGAGGAAAATATTATATACATGTATTTCGATGATAGGACACACTTAAACGATGCCAAAAAATGGTTTGAAGATAAATATTCAGATAGCATTCAGGTTTGGGAATAGAAAAGAAAGAGAAAAAACCTTGCAAATAAGTAGGCCATCTCAAGTAATACACGTAAAACAAATCGTAATAATTTATACGTTCCGGCCAAATAAATTTTTATTTGTAATAATACAAAAGTCTTTTTAATTCTATAATATATTTTATATTATATCATATCGAATTCAATATTATATTATTAAATTTAAAATATTTTAAAATAAAATTACTTCTGACTCATTTAATTTTTCTATAACATTGATAAAATTTAAAAATTTTAAAAAATTTTAAAGAATTCAATTTATTAGATCGATTTTAACTAATAAAACTTCAAAATTTTTCATACAATGTAAATACAAATATGAGAAAATATATAATTATAAAATTTCCTGCAAAATTGGAAAAGGTTATACACAAATATAATACTTTTGGTATTTTGTTAAATCTCATAAACACCTATAATAAAAATGTGTAAACATTTGTTAATAGGTGGCTGTTTTAAATAATTTTATGAGAATAACTCTGCCTACCGGTCCGGTTAACTTAGTACTAAATGGTTTAAAATTTTTTTCCAAGGTTATGTATGATAGTGCCAAATCATATCAGTAATATAATCCTCTCTTGATAAAGGATTGTCATCCCCTCCAAAAGCTTGTATTTCCCACCATGTAAAAGAGTGCCTTTTTCGTTTTGAGTAACCCTCTATTTCCTTGTAATTTCGACAAGTGTATTTTTCTCCCACCTTACTTTTCGAAAATTCTGGTTTGGAAGATAAGTGTTTGGTGATCTCGTTAATGGTTGGACGATTGAAAAACATTGATACAGCTCGTTCTTTAGCCTTATTAATAGCTTCCGCACAAGGTAATATTGGAGTGGTGTTCAAATCGTATTTAATTTTCTTCCTTCGAGATTTTCTTTCGGGAGGTAACATAGATCTTGATAATGCCACGCCAACTTGAAAATCATCATCGTCGTCATCATCGACTTTCCTTTTACAATTATTGGAACTTTCTACGGTTGATATAGCTTTAAATACTATTGAGCTCTGGAAATCATCATCATCATCATCAAGTATAGAAACGTCATACGAACGTGAAACGAAATAATTATATGTATGATCTATTTTAGCCGTTTCATTTTTATCCTTAGAAATTGGGTTGAAATAATTGGTTAGTTTCTTTTCTTTAGGTCTTGTAAGTGTGTGTAATGATGAAATAGATCTTGAAGTCAAACCAATCGAATTCATTGTGTAAGGATGATCTCTTCCATATTTAATTTTCAGTTCTTGCAGAAATTCTAACATTTTAGACGGCGTGTGCTTATATTTTTTACCACACTTCTTAAAATGTTCAAGCTTTCCTTTCTCGGTCTTAGCTTTGAAAGTTCTATTACAACATGGACATACGATAGCAATGGCAAATAAAGAATTTTTTTGCTCTTTATTTTCCTGTTGTTTCTCACCGGACTTTTTAAAGGAAGTAGAATTGGTTTCAATTTCAATTTTATCGTCAAGACACGCGTTGAAATGCTTTTCTCTCGTATTAAGAGAAGAGCAACTAAGATCCTTTCCACATATTACACAAACGCACAGTTCAGTGGTGATATCGGTAGGTTTAGTATTATTATTAGTGGTTGTCATAAATTTAGCAATCGGAAGCTGTTCGGCTACGTTTTCAGTGGTAACATTTGATGAGTTGGTTGTTACTGTGTTGATTTTACTTTCATTTACTTTAGGATGTGCAGTTTGTTGTTTACGTTTCAGAAGTTCTTTAATTCGATGTCTTTTTTCCGATTTAGCTGAATTGTACATGTTATCTAGAAGCATTCAGAGTGAAAACTTTTCGGTGAGAAAAAAAAAAAAACGCGTCCGTTTTTATGAGATCATCGCAATAAAATTTAGATATACCAATTTTCCGGTTATCACAATCTACCCATGAATTCTTCAAATTTTAACAAACATTATAAAATTGTTTTTTTTTATTTATAGTAATACTAAGTTCGGTTTTTGAATAAGATTGTAACCAAAATAGTATAAAAAATTATTTTTAAACGAAAAGTTGAACTTTTAAATGTCTTTATATGGAAAATAATAACAGAATGGGCAAGAGTTACACGGTTGAAGCTATTTCCTCGGGTTTTTTTTTTTTCAATGAAATTTAAGGTTAAATTCATTTTTAACGTTAACGAAACTACTTGTTTAACAAAAAGAGACTTCATTCTTATTTACATTTTCATTTTTCTTAAAAAAAAAAAAAAAAGTCCACCTTAAAGGTATATAATATTTGAGTATCTCTTTTTTATATGTTTGGGAATATTATATATTACTATTTGGTTCTTAATTTAAAAAACTCCAAACTTTGTGAAAGGACAGTAGGGTAAATAAAACTACTTACAACTTGAAAGTAAGATAGTGGATGGATTTTATTATAAACCAACAAATTCAAACTCGGATGTCCGCGTACGTAAAAAAGGTTTTTTTTTTTTTTTTATTTTCTTCTAGAACGTAAAAGAATTAATTACGACCAAAGATATATAATTTATCTTTTTTAAAAATAATAGAATATTACGTAATCATTACTTGTAGTATATTGCCAATAATAATGAATGTAGAATATCATAAATATCATAATCCAATGCAAAAAATTGTACAAAATATAAGAAAAAGGAAAAGTTGTGTTGGTATTATAATTGGAATATCACTATTTCTTCAATATATTATTATATCGGTTGATGCTCAAAATCAACCACCTACGCTAGGAAGATGGTAAGAGTAATAAATTTAATGAGTACGTGTCCTATTATTTTTTTTTCTCTTGATTGGTTAAATAATTAACCTTTAAATATGATCATTATCAGGGGTCACGCGGCTGTTTTAATTAACAATAGGTAAGCGATATCTAAAGGAATATGAATTAATGGTGGTTTTTCCATGATTTCATATTCCCTATATCGTATAATACCATCAATTATTCAAATTCTGATTGTATGCTTCAGAACTAATATATATAAAAAAAAAATTATTTAGTCTTTATGTATATGGAGGTAATATTGTATCAAATCCAACAGTAGAAGTATTAGAAGATGTATCAGTAAATACAAATGTATTAATGTCTTTAGATATTACAAGTCAATTTGATATAAAAAACCCACCATGGGTATTATTATCAAGCGGAGAATTATCTTTAGCATCCCACACATGTAATATAGGAGGAAATCAAAACGAATTATTATTTTTGTTTGGGGGAGAACCAAAAGAACAAGCAACAAATACATTATATGTATATAATACAAAAGAAAAAAAATGGGTGACTACTAGTACTCCTATAGAAAACAGTCCTCCAAGAATAATTGATCATACAATGGTAACAAGATTAAATGATTCGATTTCTTATTTATGGGGAGGAACTCCTATAGGTGATCAACAACGCGTTACTGCATTAGGGGATTTATACAAATTAAATACAATAGGAACAATTTCATGGGAAAATTTACCAGATGCTAGCCAAATTGCGGTTGGTAGATTTCAACATTCTGCCACCTTGTTAAATGATGGTAAAATGTATATCATTGGAGGGTCATTATCCGGTGTTACAGGTGGTGAACAATCTATATTGGCATCAATAACAGAAATTCCCGTATATGATACAAATGCAGCAACCTGGACGGTTCAAAATGCCGCAGGAATTCCCCCAAACCCAAGAAAATTACATAGAGCAGTTGGAACAGCGGATGGTAGAATTATTATATATGGAGGAGTCACGGCAAAATTTGATCAAATTTTTGACGATGTGGCAGTATTAAAAACAGGAGGAAGTGGATTAGAGTGGTCAATCCCTCAAATATTGGGAGACAAGCCACCGGGAAGATACTCTCATACAATGACCATGGTTGGATCAAAAGTAATTGTTACTTATGGTAGGGTAAATGATTTTACATTTGGAACAAAATTATTTGTTCTTAATGCTAAGAATACTGACACATATACATGGGAATCAACTTATACTCCTATTGATCTCGAGTTAACTAATACAATCCCTGACGCGACTAGAACTGATCCAAATGGAACAAATGGTGGTACAGAAAGCAATTCGATTTCTGAAAATAATTCCGGAAGTAACTCAAACATAATCATCGGAGCAAGTGTTGGTGGTTTAGTACTTTTAATTATTATAACGGTATTAATCTGTTTAGTTAGGAGGAGGAGAAAGAAGCAACATTCATTTGCTGCTACGCCTTATGATAAACAACAAGCGTCAGTACCTCCAATTGCTGGTCATGCTCCATTACACAATTTGAATTATGCTCCATCATCTTTGTCACAAGGTGGTGCTGGTGGAACTACTAACGTTACCGACGTTACTTCATTTACTCCTCCATTTGCGACTCAAAATTCTGTTGCTGAAAGAAGAAATTTAACGCCTGTAGATCAACATGATTCTTGGGGATCAGCTCCAAGTAATAGTTCACAATCTCAATTAGCTCACAATACTCCGTATTATGCAACCGGTCCTTCCCCCCATCTTATGAATACTCCTATTCCTTATTTATCTCCTCCAACTCCTCCTCCAAAACTACAAAATACTTCTACCCCACCTTCTCCTACTCCTACTCCTACCCCTTCCACACCTGTGTTTTTACCAAAAGATTTTCTCTCTAGAGGTGATGCTACGGCTGCAAATACGAAACCGCCATCTAATTTACGTTTAGATTCTGATTCAAATACAGCTCCTGCTGAATTTGATTTTAATTTACCTCCTGTAGCTCCATTATCAATTAATCGTTCTAGAACTCCCTCTCCTGCTAAATCGACAGGACAACAACAACAACAACAACAACATCAGCAGCAGCAGCAGCAACCGCGTCCACATCCGCCTCCACTAAAAGTATCAACATCATCATTATTTCCACCACAAGATTCATCGAATTATATAGTTTCATCTCCAACAGAAATGGATACATCAGAAACAACATCATCTTCAACGGATGAAGGGGGAGGTGTTGGTGGTTTATTTAATAGTCCATTATTCCGTACAGAAGCATTATCTGCATTAGCTGGTACTGCTTCTGCTGCTGACAGAACATTAAGTTTAAGGAGTGTTCCTAGGTTAAATACTTCGGGAACTCCAAGGAATAGTGCTACCTTATCTTCACCCCCTCCTCTTTCAGCTGGTGGTAGGCTAAGAAGTGGTACTTGGGATGGTCAAAAAAACACTTTTGAAGGTGGCATAACTGGCAGTAATAAACCGACCTCTCCTATTGATAATAGTACCTCAGATAATAAACCTCCAAGAGGAAGATTATTTGCAGCAAAACCTGATTCTTCTGACGATAGTGACTAAGTTTAATAATAACAAACAAGCTAGTCAAGGATAATTTTGTTATATATATATATTAAGTTTTTTATTGATTTGTAAAATTGTTTTGATTTATTTAAGGGTTTATGTAATTTGTGTTTATATTATTATATAACATTTTTATATATATATATTTTTTTTTTAAAAAAAAAATACCCCTTCCTCATTTTGATATTTACTCATAATAATTTTTTTTTTTCATTTTTGTTGGCAATAATTAGATATAACTTAATATAAGATAATTAAATACAAAAGAACTTTTTATTATATATATATTTACCTTGCTAAAAGATAAAAACCGATTGTGTCACGTGATTTAGTGCCTCCTTATTTTTTGAATTTCTCTGGGTTAGGGTAGATGCATATGATCAGAAAATTATAATAATTTTCCTTTTTCCCTAGCACTCACCCCATTTAGTTAGAACATGAAGTCAATATTCGGTTTATGTTACGTAAAATCCGGGAAATTATTTTAATTACTTTTTATGGAAAAATTTAATTTTCCGATTCAAACGCATGTATATAAAGTTGATTGTTTCTCTTGCTTTTTTAAATCATACTTGTAACTAAATGTTGCAGATAGCCGCTTCTGCAAAAGTGGTACAGCTTAGACAAGCGTTTACAGCTGTTGTTTCTGCAACTACATTCGCTTTGTTTCAAGCAAAACAGCGGTTAAGCTTTCTTGGAACTGTTGATACCAATCTTCGAACGGACAGTTCTGAAAATAGTAATTCTTCACATAAAAGTAATAATGGAAATTTTGAAAAGCGAAGTGGGTTGGAAATGCCAGTAAGATCAAATTATTGTGCTCCAAGGTTACCTATCATCTTGTGTCATGGTATGTTATCGAGACAAACGATTCTCATTTTAAATATTCAATAAATAATATGAACTTTAATGTATTACAATAGGTTTATTTGGATTTGATAAACTTGGTATGTGAAAGTTTTTTATTGCCGTAAAATTTACTACTATTGTACGGAAAATTTAGTCCGTAATTGATTTATAATTCAATTTACTATTAAGGACCTTCATCTATACCTTATTTGCAAATTCATTATTGGGGAGGTATTCAAGAAGCTTTACGAAAACTTGGTGCAAAAATCGTCGTTACTAAGGTTCCAAGGTAATTATTTATTTGTTCACAATTTTGATTAGGGTGATATTTTCTAATGGATTCCTCATTTAATTAGGACTGGTGATGTTAGAGCTCGAGCTCAGGTTTTACATGAAACGTTGGAAACCGTCTATTCGGGAGGAATTGATGTGAACTTGTTGGCTCATTCAATGGTTTGACAACCAACGTTTTGTGAATATCCGATAAATTTTTATTAAATCTTTCATGGTGGTAATATTTTACCAACGATTAATTTATTTTAAATTTTAGGGCGGACTTGATTGTCGTTATTTAATTGCACACCTTCCTACAGAACATTGTACAGTTCGTTCATTGACTACCATCGCGACACCACATCGAGGAAGTCCTTTTATGGATTGGTGTAGAGATAATATTGGGGTTGCGAAGTCTGATGAAGCGACGGCAAAAGCTGTGGATGATGTTATAAGACGAATTGAAGATCGAATTTCTCACAATAATTCAAAAGAACAATCTCATTACAATATAAAACCGTCTCCACCTTTTCGTGACAATAATAATGATAATCAACAGACATTAAGAAAAAAATATGAAGATAATCCTAATAACAAGGAGAATCAAGTTCAGAAAATGAATAATGATAATGATCAAATTGTTAAAGATAAAAAATCTTTCAACATCAATTTACCAAATATCTCAATTCCTAATTTAAATTTTAATCTTTCTTTACCTAATATAAATCTCTCAAATATTAATTTATCTTCTATCCCACAAACAACATATTCTTTACTTCATCCCGTTACAAAATTACTAATTCAAGTGTTGGATACACCAGCCTATAGTAATCTTACAACGGATTTTTGTGTTAACCATTTCAATAAGAATACACCAAATCATCCTTCGGTTGGTTATTATTCATACGGTGCGGCAGTAGATTTACCAATTTGGTCACCATTATATTTTCCTCATCAAGTAATTAAAGACAAGGAAGGTCCAAATGATGGGTTGGTTAGCATAAAATCTGCACAGTGGGGTAAGTATGTTCGAACTGTTGAATGTGATCATTGGGATTTAACTGATAGGTGGAGGATTAAGATCGGTTCTAATTTTGATCCTGTCGAATTTTATTTAAGTGTTGCTACTTTTCTAGCTAGTGAAGGATATTAATATGTTACTTTACAGAATTTTTTTCACTTTTTAAATTAATAAATGATTTTAACAAAATGTCAAAACAACATTTGATTGGCTTAAGGAGGTCGCATAAGTAAACTCTTTATAAATGAATTTTCTATAAATCCACATTAATATGCTCGATTTGACAATGATGTCCATGATGCATATATAGAGTTGAATGTAAAGATTTTAGAAAACTTTATGAATTAATTTTTTGTATTGAAATCTAACGCAATACTCATTTTTTAACTTTTTCGGGAACAATATTGTTAAATTATTTGTTGAAAGCGTTTCAAAATAATGAACCTGCTCATCAACATTATCTTGATGAAAATTTAAGCAATGCAAGCATTTATATTCACTTTAGCCAAACATTCATTATGATACGCATAAGTTATTTATTATAATATAATTGACAAATCCTATTGAAAGATGTAATGTGCAAGTTTTAATGCTGAAAATTGAAAAAAAAAAAAGTAATTATTTTTTGTTTGCGCTCCCCTTTTATTGATGAATAATGGATCATAATGAAGGAAAATAATGAATGAAAATACAGTCAACCCACAAAAAAAAAATTTATTAACAAAATTTGCTACAATAGAGTGATTCTATTTTTTTTATTATTTACCTAGCAATTTCCTCTTTTTTTTATTGCAAAGTTCCATATATTCAAATTTTAAGAAACTTAATAAAAATGATACAGAAGTAAAGATAAATAAGTAATTGAAAAGTAAAACAAAATATATAGAATAAACTTTTAAGAATAAATTTTTTAGATAAATTATTTTTGATTTATAAATTAGCTTTGATTCAATTATTAAGAGCTTTAATCAGTTTAACTTATTATAATAAATGGAAATTTAATAACTTATAAATAAAAGTAATAAAATAAACTTAAAACATTTTTAAACTAATAAGATAGATTAATATAAAAGAATAGTTTTTATATTTAATTGATCATTAAAAATAAAATATTAAGTTTAAAAAAATTTAAAAAAATTTTTTAATAAATGATATTACTCTATAATCTAATATCTATAGATTTAAATACCACTCCATTTATCTTTTTTCATATATTTACTTTCTATTAAATATTATTTCTAATTAATTTTGATATATATATATTTATTTTAGGACTTATATCTGTTAAATTCAGATATAGATTTAAATTTAATCTATTAGATCTAGATTGAGATTTAGATTTAATCTATCAAATTTAAATTTAAATTAAATCTGAATTGTTTTTTTAAACAATTTATTATTATTCAATTAGAATGATTTATTATTATTCTTTTTTAATAATTTATTATTGTTTAATTAAAATAATTTGTTATTAATTTTTTTTAATGATTTATTATTGTTTAATTAGAATGATTTGTTATCATTCTTTTTTAATAATTTATTATTATTTAATTAAAATGATTTGTTATTATTCTTTTTTAATAGTTTATTATTATTTAATTAGAATAATTATTATTATTATTTTTGAATAATTTATTATCATTCAATTCAAATAATATATTATTGTTTAATTAGAATAATTTATTATTATTTTTTTAATACATTATCATTTAATTAAAATAATATATTATTATATTTTTGCATTATCATTTAATTAGAATGATGTATTATCATCTTTTTATATTATTATTTAATTATAATGATGTATATTATTCTTTTGAATGATACATTATCATTCAATTAAAATAATCAAAAATTTGTTTCTTTTCAATAAAAGAAATTTTTTTAGATTTTTTTAGAATTGAAAATTGTTTCTTTTAATGAAAAGAAAATTTTCAGATTTCTTTTAGAGTTAGATTTGAATTCAGATTATCCCTTAAACTGTAGAGGTTCGCAGGCAAATTTGCCTGCTTATTTACTATAAATTCCCTTCTGATTTACTTTT